TAAAACTGAGGGCTCCCCCTAACATCCGTGAATAAATAAATCTCCCTGAATATCAAAAGTAAAAAGCAAGCGGAAAAAGACTTTCAGGCTTATATCTGAACACGCAGAGTTTAAAATATGTATTTTTTCCCCTTTTTTTTTCAATCTCCACTGAGACAGGATTACATAATTTCCCAACGTGTAACTTGCTTGTCATAGTAACTCTCCAAAAATATTTAACTAAGCTGAAATTGGTTTGTTTCATTTTAGCTTACGTTGTGTGGGGGAACGTATACGGGTAAATCCGCGACTTACAATGGCTCACTTAGTGACCAGGTGAAGCTATGCTCTACCTGAAAGAGGGGACTTACAACTTCAAAGTTCCGACGGTCACTCCCCACTCCCATGGTCGAACGACTGCACCTCATGTGCTCAGCAATATGGCTGAATGTACAGCCGGTGCATCCTATGGTCAGGTGGCCAGGCTTTATGACGGTTCCCCCCCCCAAAAAAACCCGCCACTTACTCCCAGTTTTTGGCAAAACCGTGCCATAGTGAACAATGAATACACCTAACAACTGCTGCAAAAAAAACATAGTCACACTGGGCTGCAACCAACTTGTTTTATTACCATTAGGCTTGCGGCCATCACAGGCAGTCTCCAAGACGGCCGTAACTCGAGGACTATCTGCCCCCATGAGTTATTATTCAGTTTGCACTTTCAACTAGCCACTGTTTAAATCGTGGTGCAGAAAGCCAGGCTCTCTAATGAATCTTAAACGTGCTGCTTTGTAATTCATGTTAAATTGTTTCTCCTCTATTCCCTAGAAAAATCATGCAGAATAAGCAGAATTTACTTCCCGTGATTTATAGAGGCCGCAAAGATGCTGCTTTATTTAGCTTAAAAGGTTGGTCTTCCCTGCGTTATCCAGAAACTCTGGCCGTAACTTGTAACGTTGCTTATTCAACGCAGAAAGTGTCTGCCTGGCAATTCAGCCTCCCTCTCTGCACATTTTCTACAAGGAATTAGTCCTTCCAAAGGTGATGGTGCATACGAGCTTGTTTCCTATTGTGCGCTGTAATTATTTGTTATAATGGGGAATAAAGGCTTAATTAGCTTCCAAGCTGCAGATATGATTTAATTAGCTCTTGCGCTGTTATGTACAGGCACCTGTCTTAGGTAAAAACTTGCTTATTCCGTTCTGAAAAGGAGAACGGCTGGATGGGCACCTTGCAATTTATTGATTGATTCTTATTCCACCTTTATTATTCTTATAAATAACTCAAGATCACATTTAAGGAGGGATTCGAATTCGCAGTCTCCAGCCTGGGGGCTTTTACACCAAACAGGCCGTGTAATTAAAAGAAAGAATTAAAGAAAAAAGGAAATAGGAAGAAACAAACAAACAAACAAACAAACAAAACCTGTGCTTATTAGAGCATAGCACACTGTGCTTGGAAGCGCCAAAGGAGCCTGAACTCTTTTAAGCAAGAGGAACACAGATTTATAGTCCTCCTCAAAGTCTTTTTAGATTTATGCACCCACTAAGAAAGTGTTAAGTGATAAGAAGTAGCACTAATTCCTTTTTAAAATGAGATCTGACTTCCTTCCCAGATAAAGGTGAAGGAGTGATTCATGGCTGGTAGTTGTGGGAGGAAAGGAAGGAGAGCTGCAGTATTTAAGTACACATCTCTCAGATGACCTCTCCATCTCTCCTTCTTGTTGGGTGGCCCTATTTAAATTAAAAGTCTTATTTTTAGAACTGTGTTAATTTAGGGTAGGCATGGAAAAGTCACCAGCAAGGTGTAGTAGCCAGAATGAACAAAACCTGTTAAAAGCACCATGCAGGCTTCCCAGCTTTGCTACCAACTGTCATTGACAGAGACTTTTCCATGCCTATCCTAAATTAACGCACTTCCAATGCATGTAAAACAACTCATCACAGCGGCCCATGATGGACGGATCTTGTGAACAAGCAGGCACAATGTGGCACACAAATCTACTTGGGATCTAACTGGGATCTGAAGTCTCCCTTTGAGTCCTTTCCAATGCAGCATCTCTACAAGAGAGTGGTTCTCAACCTTTGAGATCCCCCTTTGAAGTCCTAGAATAATAGGAGAATTTCTGTTCTGCTTAGAAAGGCTTGGGGAGTCCCCACTGAAGGCCCTGCTCAGTCTCCTGTGCCTTCATTTCAAAAGTGGGACTTCCTGTGTTTTTTTTTCCTGGGGAACGTCAAGTAGGAACAGCAAGCCTTGTTGAAGCCCACGTGTCTTGTTCTGGCCTGTCTTGAGACGGCACACAGGGTCAGCATTGAGATCCAGCAGGATCATTCTCTGAAAAAGCTACCCTTGGAAGAGAGAGAAGCAAGACGGGAACAGGACACCAGAAGGATCTGGCCAGGTTGCATTAAGTGGGTCTCAGAATAGCAGTAGCAATAGCAGTTAGACTTATATACCGCTTCATAGGGCTTTCAGTCCTCTCTAAGCGGTTTACAGAGTCAGCATATCGCCCCCACAGTCTGGGT